CAGCCAGCAGCCAGCAGCCTGCAGCCCGGTGGCTCTTTACTCCGAGGGTTTCCGGGGCCTCCTGGCAGGGCTGCCAGGAGGGGCGCTGACAGCCAGCAGAAGCCCCCTGGCAGGCCCATCCCCACCTCCCCTCACCCAACACCTGCTTTATGATGCTGAAACTAAATGGCCAAGACTGAGTTTCCTGTCTCTGGTAGAAACTTATTATTATTATTTTTTTCCCCTGGCAGCCTGTAAGATTGCAACTCAAATGCAGGTCGGCAACAGGGTTACTCGCTGGCTGCAGACTTAAACTGCTGCGGAAGAGGGCTGCCGTAGACTTGAAGGAAGGAACACGCAGCTCGTAAAGGGGCGTTCTAACAGAGGACTTCTTGGCTTATTTCTTGTTCATTTTTATTTTCTAAGAACGTTTGGTAAAGAACTTTGTGAGCAACAGGCTCCTACCGTCATGTATATATTTAAGTCAACTGCCCCGTAATTAAGGATAAAGTACGTTTTATCTACCTGTGTCACTCGGAAGGTGGACGGGCACGGACAGACGGTGTAATTCGTGTTCACCTTGACCTGCACACGCCTTACATGTATTCTTGTGACTGACACGTGAGAGGTGAGGACGCGATCACTCATGCCCCCAAGAAACCAAGCCAGAGCCCCTGCCGCCTTCTTCCCGGCCCGGGTCGGCTCCAACCGCAGCTGAGTCGGCAGGCACAGGCCAGGAGCGCTGATAGGGCGGGGGATTTAAAACCCAGTCAGCTGTGGCGAAACCAGCAATGCCACAGAATATTTGGGGAAATTCTTCTTATAACTCTTTTATAACCTTAATAAAAAAGACGAGGCACAATCGGGGAAGCAGGGGAAGGAGGTCAAAGCCGGACGGGCAGTGAGCGGAGGTGGCTTTGGAGGGCTCTGGCCCGAGAGTGAGGCAGGCCTGTCCTGTGACCCCTGCAAACCATGACCGGGTCGTGGTCCCCGCTGCCGCCCACCTTATGGCTGCCCACGTAACTGCCCCTCGCACGGTGCCCCCACCACTGCCCACCTCTCAGCCCCCACGCTGCCTTCCTACGGCCACAGCCATGAGGTTTCGGAAACAGGAGAAAGGGGTGGCAGGCCGCAGTGTCACTGCAGGGACAGGACACTCAGGGGAAATGAGCACCGGCACTGTGAAAGGCAATGGGGCTTTGCCGTGTGACGTGTGTACTTTAATAAAACGATTAAAGAACTCCTCCATTAGGGGCCCCCAGTGACCACTGCTTACACTGAGAGAACAGTCACCGGCACGGGGACACGTCACGGTGGTGTGTGACAGCGGCCCGCGGCACAGCGCTCTTCCTTCTCTATCTCCAGGGCCGAACCTGTCTCTGGCCATTTTCCTGAAGAAGCTTCCTGAATGGCCCTGGAAGACCACGCGGTCAGGTTCGTACTGCGGGGGTACCAGGCTCCAGCCCAGATACCTCCAAACCTCGCCTCGCTGGAAATCCAGTGTCTGTTTTCCAGCGATACACGTGACCCCAGCAGGCGGTGTGCTGGGAAGAGCTTACCCTGTGCTTCTTTGAGTAAACTAAAGAGTTTCAAAGCACACAAAATGTTGGCACTGGATTCCGAGCAGAGAAGATCATAGATCTAGAACTTTCCACCTGTCCTTGCTCACACCGGTGAGCTTTCAAGAATCCGCGCGGTCTCATATAGTGGCACCTGGAGGAGCGAGGCCTAGAACACACTGACAGTGTGACTCTGGCTGCTCCGGTCATGGCCCTGTAGCCGCTGGGGTGTGGGGACCTCTCCTAGGAGCCATGTCCCCTTGCTGGGACTGCCTCGGTGGCCACTCTCTCGCCTGCCATGAGGACTGGGGCACAACTTCCCTAACCAACCCCTGGGGCCTGAGCTCCTCGTAACCACCAACCGGTCTTCATACCACGCGGGGGACGTGGCTCCCCGGTCATGCCCCGCCCCTGTTCACACTGTCCCTGAGTGGCACCTCCCCAGGCAGGGAGGGCAGTGAGCACCTCAGGCTGGTGGCCAGCCGCGTGCGGATGGGGAATGTGACCAGCTCAGTCCTTGCTAGGAATGTGGCGGAGTCTGTAATGGTCTTGAGACACTTGGAGTCCCGATTTTATGTGAAATTTCACAAGTTACCAACACTGGCTAACTTTTTAATTTTGCCGACATGAGACAGAGAGAACCTCCTTGCAAACTCAGCCGTGGGGAGGCACCAGCTCCCTGTGCACACCATAAACTCCAACTTTCTCAAAGCAGAGCCCTTCGGGGCAGGCCCGTGGGAGCGTCCCTGGCCTGACGCTGGGCATGGGTCGTGCGAGAACAGACTGCAGGGCAGCCTCGTGTGCCCTGCTGCCGCCGAGGTGGCATGTTAGGGCCCCCCGGTGTCAGAAACGCTGTCTGGCTCCAGCCCGAGACTGCGGGGGCGAGCAGAGACAGGTGTGGGATGTACGCCCGTCTGCTCTGCGAGCCGCTGCCGCGCGCCTTTCAGCCACGGCGTTTGCCTGTTAGCATCTCACACGGGCCACAGGGACCCCGAAACCTGGTCAGCACTGAAAGCTACGGGGGACATATCTTTAAGACATTTAAAAACATGACTCTCTTTCCCATGTTAGCTGGTAGGAGCCAGATCTGCAGCAGTCCAAGCGCTAACCCTGCACACAAGCCAGCACCTTCGGCTTCTCTTGGCTAGAGAGCTGGGCTAGGAAGCTTTACGCAGGCGAGGGCTTGGGGCTGGTGTCAGGACCCGCCGAGCGGTGGGGCAGGCATGCCTGGCAACACGCCATGTGCATGCCCGCCTGACCGGCGACCACGGCCACACGTGCAAATGTGCTTGGACCGCGAGCGATGTGCAGCGCACAGGCGTGCAGCAGGTGCCTCTGCGGTCACACAGCGTCCTGAACGCCAGACGCCGGGAAACCCAACAGCCCACAGGTACCTCCTTCTGCTGCCGCTCCAGCTCCTTCATCCGGATCTCCCGGGCCTCCGCACGGGCCGCCCGCTTCGCTGCAAGCCTGGCCTCCGCCTGAAACAGACAAGGAAATCTATTAGAGGGCAGACTGACCGGCACCCACCCAGGACACGGTCAACGACGCTGCTGGAAGGACTTATGGCCTGGAGTGTAATAACACTGGGTGAGGAGTCGCAGACCCGTCAGGGCAGAAGGGCTGCAGGGAGTCAGAACAGCCTCTGTAACGGATGGAGGCCCTTGAGCAGGCACTGGCTAGATGCCGCCAGGCACCATTCCAAGTGCTTTACGCCAGGGTGCAGGGGCTCCTCCCAGCGGCCAGGTGGGGCAGCCACTGCTACCATCCTAGTGCATACAGGAGGGAGAGGGACGGCACAGAGAGGCTAAGTAACCTGTCCAAGGTCACACAGCCCGGACGTGGCCAGGCTGGGCAGGCTGTCTCCCTCTGGAGCTATAGGAGACACACAGATCATTAGCGTGGAAGCCACAGCAGGGCCTGGAGAGGCTGCCAGGCCCGTCCGAGTCACAGGATGGTGGCATGAGGCTGGGACTGACCACCCTCCCCAGAATGTCTTGTAGCACTTTCTTCCACTGGCAACTCCCCTCAGCAAACACCCCCACGGTGCTGGAGCCTGTTCCACCCAAGACCTCAAAGGGGCAGTGTGGGACCGGTCAGGCCGTTAGTCCCGCCTGCACCTCTCTCTCCCTCTCCTGAAGCTGTCTGCTGTGTTCTACAGAGAGAACATTTCTTCCTTTTGTTCTTTTCCCTCTTTCTTTCTATGTTTCTTTCTTCTTTCTTTCTTTCTTTCTTTCTTTCTTTCTTTCTTTCTTTCTTTCTTTCTTTCTTTCTTTCTTCTTTCTTTCTCTCTATCTCCCTCTCTTTCTCTCTCTCTCTCTCCCTTCCTTCCTTCCTTCCTTCCATCCTTCCTTTCTTCTTTCTTCTTTCTTTCTTAAACGTTTTTTGACATAGGGTGTGTGCGTTTGCCAGAGAGAGACAGAAACAGAGTGGGAAAGTGAGAAGTCACTTCCATGATTTCTACAACCCCTTCTCCTCTCTCTTCCTCCTGAGATTTTGGGCACGTTATGCACTTGCACCTGGTATGATTTTCAAGACGCCAGGTTGGGGACTTGAATTGCAGTCAGCCGTGTGAGAGTCCAGTGCCTTAACCATCATGTCATCTGTTTGGCCCCCAGAGAGCATTTCAAATGCTTGCCCAGGTCTCCCAGCACAGTCAAGCCTGGAGTTGAGCATGTTTTGTGTTTACATGCCTCACCTCGCTCACCACTCGTGCAACGCAACTGCCAGGCGATGCAGCCGTCCAGATTCGGGGCCCTGGGGTCAGACAGACCCAGCCTTCTTTCCATTTAGGCTTCCTGGGAGACGCCTGTCAAGCTCCTGCCAACAGTTCTATAGGCGCAGTGCTCAGGGTCTTGCTGCTCCCAGATAACCTGAAAACGGGCCTCAGACACAGCCCTGGGGGCATGTGGGGCTGCCGGTGCCAAGGGGGTCAGGGCTCGACTCCAGTTTCCCCAAGGGCTGGTCAGCCTGTACAGTGACTTCCATCAGGACGGGGGTCGGATGGCAGGGCGCCCGCCTCCCCAACTCCACACTGTATTTTAGTGCATTACACACTTACGTGCCTCTGAGGTTCTTGTTTTTTTAATTACAAGAGGACAGATACATGCCGAGAGAAAGACAGAGCGAGAGGGGGGAGTGCCCCATGGGCGTGGTGGTGCCACAGCCCCTTCTCCTCTTCTCCACCCTCTTAGCTTCCTGAACACGTACTCACACATGCCTGGTGTTTTTCAAACTGCCAATGATGGGGACTCAAAATAGGGTCGGCCATGCGGGATCTGGCCCGCCCAAACACGGGGCTGCAGGACCGGCCTGCTCTCTCTGAGCCCCAGTCTTAGCTGAACCGGGCCACGCTGGCTCTGTCTCGGGCTGGCTGTGTCCTCACAGAACTTAGCCGGCACTCAGTTCCTTTAACAACCCAACTCCATGTCTCCCGAACCCACGAGCCCACAGGAGTCAAAAGCTACAAAGGTGCTGGGACTTGCTACCTCGTTGCCATTTTCGAGACCCTGTTACACTAAGCGAAGTGCCTCTGTGGGTCCATGGAGGCTCTGCAAGGCTTCTCACCACATCTGGCCATGTGCACCTCCCACGTCCCCCACTAGGCCAGCAAGGTCACCAAGCTCACGCCAGCCCTTCTCGGGGAAGCGCGTGGCTCCATGCCCGCTGGCTCCGATTCTAAGACTGTGTAGACCAGGAAGGAGTTTTTGCGACAGCCTCAGCCCATCCACTTGGGTGGGGAGGATCAGAGAGGAGGCACTGGGGAGAGAACAGCAGGAGAAAGTGAGAGGGGGGCAGAGTGAGAGGTAAGCAGCAAGAGGGCTGGGGGACAAAGGGCCCTGGAGGGATGGGAGAGACGGGTGTGGGCGGAGGAATACGCCTGAACAAGTCCCCAGATTTCTACCAGATTCTAACTGTCGGTGAGGTGCGTACGGCCCCTCCCCTCCAGTATGTGCGGGGTCACGCTGTCATCCCTGTGATTAATTAGATCAGGTGGCAAGGAGAACTGCACAAGTATTTACAGTCCCTTATCAGTTAACTTTGAGTTGATGAAAACACACGTTGCTTGGGCCTGCAGGTGGCGTGGTGGCTAAGAGCGCTGGACTCCCACATGGCCGACTAAGGTTTGAGTCCTGGAGCTGGTGGCTTGGCTTTTTACTTTCTTTCTCTTTCTCTCACTTTGTCCTTCTCTGGTCAAGTTAAAATAAATAAAGTTAAATAAATAATTCTAAACAATAACAAGAAAAAAATCATTGTGAAAAAGTCTATTAAAAAAAAAAGACACAGATTGCTTTGGGTGGACCTGCCCTGATCAGGTGACCCCTTTAAAGAGGGTCTAGTATTCAAAGATGCTGTCATGGGTGCGAGCCTGTGAGGGCCATGTGGCTTCCAAGAGCTGAGAACAACCCCTGGGAGACAGCTGGCAGGGCCGGGGGGCTCAGTCCATGGACCTGGGTTCTGCCATGAACTGTGTGAGCTCAGAAGAGGACCCTGGGCCCTAAAAGGACCCTGGCCTGGTGACACTTAATGCAGCCTGTGAAGCCCCAAGCCGAGAACTGGCCGTGCCATGCTGACTCCGGAGACAGACACCGCGAGCACCTGTGTGTTGTTGGCGGCTGGGGGGGGGGACATACCAGCCGGTAACCAGGAGGGCTGCGGTCTGAGCTGACCAGTCCGGGTATCTGTGAGCAGAGCAGGGACTGAGGACTGGCATGCCAACTCCCTCCTAGCCTGCCCATCTAGCCCTCATCCCACTCTGCTTTAGCTCTGCTGGGGACAGGCGAAAGATCCCTGAAGGGGAAAAAATTAAAAAATAAAAAGATCCTTGAGGGGATCACCTTTCTGAGCTAGTGCCTGCCACCCGGAGGCGTCCCCGTAGATGTCCCCCCCCCATTAGGCCTCAAAATAATGCCCGTCAGACCTCAGCGACTCTTGCGGGGCTTGCCCTCCACCCAGGAAGAGGCATCATCACAGTGTGCCCTATCCTTAAGGACAATGGCACTGGAAGTTTAAGACACGGGCTAGCCAGTGGCCTGGTGGTTGCAGAAGCTGGATTGCACAAGGCTGACAGTGCAGAGTCCCAGACCTGGTGGTGCGTAAAACATGCCCGGTACGCGTGCATGCATGCCTAACGTCCCGAGGAGGCTGGGGAGGGAACTGTGGCGTGCTTGTTTCCCGGGGGGGGGGGGGGGGGGGGGTGGGGGGTCTCCCTTGCTTTCTCTCTCGCTCTGAGTCTGGTAAGTGCACACACCCTATAGCAAACCAAAAATAAAAGCCTAAAACCCAACAACCCTTGCTTTGCCAGACAGGGGCCTGCCTTGATAAAGGAAGTGCTGAGAGCCAGCCCTGGGGCCCTGGGAGCCAGCACTGCGCCCGGGGCCCAGGTTCCACATGGCCCCACCCTGAGGCTTAAAGTGCGTGCCAGGTACATGTGCATAGCTCCCCTCTGACCACATGTGCTCTCTGACATCTTGGGGGCTGGGAGGGAGGAACATAGGAACACGTGAACCTTCTAGAATAAATGCCTTATGAATACACAAACCAGCCAACCTCAGAGGCGGTTCAACTATGCACACTTTTACCCGAGATTCATAAAGAAGCTCGATGCGTGATTCCACACTTCAGACCTGTGCTCCCACCCGGTCCGATCCGCATCAGCCTCGCACCAGTCATGTGTGGGAGCAAAGACTTGCGGCACAGCAAGCGGCCGGCAGCCGTCTAGCTTCTCGGAATCCGCCTGAACTAAAACCCAGCGCACAGGAGCCAGTTAGTAGGCACAAGCCCACAGACAGCCACCTCACGAGGGAGGCTCTCATCGCACTGGGACTGGCTTTCGCTTTACCCCGTATGGTGAGGACACACATGCCAACGCCTGGTCATGCTGCAGTCCTTTTCCCGCCCATTTCCATTCAGTGAAGACCTGGGCACGCCTGAACCCTGCATGTCGCGTGTCGCTGTCTGAGCTGGGATTCACACCCCAGTCGACCCCGTGGACTCTGGCTTCCTCTGCACAGTAGTGTTTAACTGCTGTGCTATGAAGCCAGCCTCCAGAATAACCCGTAACAGCCTGAGACGCATGAAAGAAAAGCCACAGTCCCCACGAGACGGGCACCCTGAGCAGAGCTGCTGAGCACAAAGCGCCTGGTGGGGCAGCACAGGCGGGTATCGCCAGCAGGGCGCCAGGAAGACGCGCTTACCACGCCCCAGCCACGAGCCACGAGCCACGAGGTGAGCAGAGTACAGAAAGCTACTGTCCCCCATGGCAACAGAAGAACAGGAATTCTGGGACCAGCAGATTGCATAATGGTTACATCGCTGAATTCCCACATAGTGGTTCGAGTCCCAGACCCGGTGGCTTAAACTCACGCCGGGCACCTGTGCGTGCATGCCCAAGATCCCAAGAGGAGAATAGAAGAGAAGGGATTGCAGTGTGGCCATCCCCTCTGGGGGTGATTTCTAGTTTTCTCCCTCTCTCTATCTT